TATATATATATATATATATTAAAACAATGTACTTCAAAAATAAATCTTAATATAATTAATATATTTTTTACAAGACCCTCTTCTTAATTTTATAAGATATATATTTAATTAATTTAAAAACACATATTATTATTATTTTTTAAAATATCTTTCTTAATTAAATAAAACCCAATTAATTATTTTCCAATTTAATTTAATTTCTTAAAACTGGAGTGTTACAGTTATAACCCGACAATTTGACACATTTGGCTGCTCAAAGGTGAGAAACTAACTTATGAGTCCTAAGTCATGACTCATGAGAATTGCAAAAAGCAAGGGAAAAACGTAAAGAGTAATAACTAAGTACCTGATGAAATTAGAGAGATTATATATAATTTTAATATTGTTGCAATGGATATTACAATGAAGCCTGTGTATTAAAAATCTACATACCATTTTAGAACAAAAACTTGAAAACAATTAATTGTGAATTGAAAATTACATACAATGTCGCATAAACAAACAACTGTATAAGTGGTAGGAAGAAGTGTATTTTCATTGGCTCATTGTAAGTTAGGTCACAACAAGAAACAACACATGCTTGAATGACTATTCTTTTGATGAATTTTTTAATATTGGTTCGAGATGAGCATAGTCTAAAAGTGGTGATACCCAATACCCATGGTGAGGTTGAGGTCGTGGGTGATAATTTAGAATTTTAGATCACATTCTCAAATGCATCCCTCATCTCTTATCACTTATCATTTACACATAAGATGATATGGATTGAAAAACATTTCACGAATAAAGGACAAATTTATGTAACTTTCCTTTTCATGAAACTAAATTGAAAATGGTCATCAATCATCATATAAAGGATTAAAAGTTTAATTCACTAAAGCTGGTTAATAAAAGTCAAAGTGATCATGCCGTAATCTATTACTTAATTAAGTTGATAAAATAGTTCACAAAGTTATGAGTTTATGACAATTATAAATTTGAGACTTTTATAATACTGTAACACTTTAATATAATTATATAGGGGAACAAATTGAGTATTTAGTTTGTCATGTACAAGGACCAAAAATTCAAAACTTCTATTCTTTTTCGGAAAATCATTTCAATAATATGAGTACAAGAGGTGGTTTTATAATTAAATGTTGTCAGAAAAATCAACGATGACAATGGGTTTCATACATGTATTATCGTCAAATCAAGTCATCGAACAAAATTGACTTTTCAAGGTTTTGAACTTAATTTAATACTCTAGTTTAGAATATGATTCACATATAATTTATTCAGGCCCCATTATTCCATTTTCGACACTGCTATAAATTAATATTTTAACAATTACGAAGCTCTCCCGATATTTTTCTTCTCTTAAATTTAAATTTGGATATTACGTACACTTCTCTTCGAACTCTATATTTTAACCTCAGCAAGAGATGTGATTAATTAGTCAATAGTCTGAGTTAATTGGATATATTAAAATTATGCTGTTTTTTTTTTTATTATTAAAATATTAGGTTTCGTATTTAAATTCGTATTACAATGATAAGATATCTATAACATGTTTATTTTATACTTGTGTTGTTTTAAATATTGTTAGCGATGATTGGATTACAAAAAACCTCCCATGATGCAACATTATTTGTTACTATTTTTCAGTTACTGATGGCAGATGCAATGTAGTTTGCATTTGTTAAGAATTAGTGTCTCTTTTGTACTTTTTTTTGAATGATAAAAAAGAATATTGTCAGTGAAATTTATGTTTTGTGATTTCTTTTATACAATTTAAATTTGAATTATATTTTGTTCCCAAATATGAAACACATTACTCTCCCTAAGTACATAATACAAATTTGAACATTTTAATTAATGAACTAAAGTCTGCAATTATAACTTATGATTCCAAAGAAGAACTCAAGTCTCTTAATTATATAAACTGTAGAACAGAATTTAAAAAGAAGGAATTATTTTCTGAAAACAATCTAAACGCAGGCAGATCCTGTATAAATTTTTGGTAGTATATTTGCTGGGACTAGGGGTGGGTATATGGACTTGAGTCCGCGGACCGGTCCGTAAGTCCGCGGACTTCACGGATAACGGACTCATTTTTTTTAATCCGTATAATCATACGGACTTTCTAGGCCCGGCCCGTTTAGTCCGCGGATTTTGCGGATTTAATCCGCGAGCCCGCGGATTACCCGTTTAAATGTGGACTCAAATTTTTTTATTGGAGATGGTTGATTATATTTGATAGATGTAATTGGACTTACAAATATTTTATGTTTGTTTTTAAGATATTAATTAAGACTTTATGTTTTAAGGTATTTAGACTTTGATGTACTGGCTTTAATATTTGGTTAATAGTTGATATGCTTGGACTTTAAATTTTAAAGGCATTGAGACTTAAATATTTCTATTAGAAATTTAGAATGTGTAAACTTTGTTATTTAAGACTTTGATTTATTATTTACAATGTTTGATGTTATTATTAGAAGTATATTTATATGATTTTATATTTTTTTTCCCTCATGTTTTCATAGGTTAAATAAAGGAAAAGAAATTCAAAATCTGAGTCAATATTCATTTAAACAATTTAGATTTAATTGGGCCCGCGGACTTATCCGTTTATCCGCGGGCTTCACGGGCCGGATACGGACTTGAAGATTTAGTCCATTTATTTCGTGGACCGGATTTATCCGGCCCGTTAAAAATGCGGACTTCGCGGACCGGGCCTTAAACGGGCCGGACCGGTCCGCATACCCACCCCTAGCTGGGACTCTATCTATCCGATACAAAAAAGGTCAATATTCCTTGCACTTTATAAACAGCATAATATTTAAGCCAAAATTAACAAGAACATATTCATCATAATTTTCTGGGAAATGAATACTTGAATATTATAGTTTACGGGAACCGGTAATTGCAAGAAATAAGGAAGAAGAGACAGAAAATCATAAGTAGAACACAAGACAAGTATTGAGATGGAGAGAGCACATGAAGAAGGTTAATGTTACGGTTAAGGAGGGTCGAGGTTGCGGGCCCCACCGTCTCCCATCTTAAAAGTATAAACGATAACGCCACCACCCACTTCCTTCTCTTATCAATTTTCTCTCTTTTTCCTTTTTATTTATTTATTATTTTATATTATAAATAAATTAACAATTAGTGTAATTTTGTAATGTAACGCTTTCGTTTACCCTCATTTCCTCGTCGTACTCTGTCCCTTTCTCCTTCTCTCTCTTCCACGGGTTACCGTCCTGCCCGGTGTCCAGCCTCGCACGTGCCTCGTCCTCCAACACTCCGTCGCACGTGCCGCCCCTCACCCATACAACTCCCTTTCTGTGGTGCAACAAATAAAAGTTAGAGAGAGAATAATAACTCATGGAAGCAATATATATGGAGCCATGTAGATACAGAGATAGAGTTTCATAGATAGAGAGAGAAAGAAAGAGAGAGAGAGAGAGTGGAGTTGATAAAATCATAAAAGCATAAATTTTTCTAGGTCTTTGGAGGGGCATGTAGATGTAGTAGCTAGAGATGGGTTTATTCACACCCTTTCTTCTCTATCTCTCTTTCGACCTTGTTTTTGTTTGAAATCTGAAACTGAAAAATCATTTTTTTTTTATTGGGTGAGTGAATCTCGTGAGTTGAAGTGTTTTTTTTTGGTCTGTCTTGCACCGATGAGGATCCGGAAAAGGCCGGTGCTTTTCCCATCATCGCTCTCGCCGTTGCCTCTCTCAGATCCCCACCTGATCAACCGGTCACCGGTGATGGTGCAACTTAGCGACGCTACTCCCACCGCACCCAAGCCTTCTCCAGCTGCAGTGCTCCATCACCATGCTGCTTCCGCGCCTCCATCGAGCTTGGATCGTCGCCAGCCGTCTGATCAGCCAAGCAACGGCTCTGATGAGCCCTCCGGCATCGGTGAAAGTGGGGCACACAGACAGCACAACAAGCAAGACCCTTTGGTGAGTAAAACACACACACAAACACTAATTGTTTAATTTTATTTTTGTTTATTTCCTTTTTTTTTAAATTTGGTTTACTATTCCGTTTTGTTTTTTCGAAATTTCATGATGTGGGCTTTTACAATTGCACTTTTGTCCAATCTCTGGCAAGTGGTTGTCAAATTAGTTATTTATTTATTTTTTGAAAAATAAAATTATTTTTCACGCCCAGAAAGGGGCACGCTTGGGACAGGAACAAGATCCTATGTATATTTTGGTGTGGTTGATTTTGCAGGACGAGGTTGTTAGAAGGGAAGAGAGTGGAGAAGACAGGTAAGAACGAAAAAGAAAAATAATTTTTTTCCCTCTATAATTCTTTCATGAAATCTCATAGTAAAAAAGGTGAAAAACACGGAGACCCATCTCTTGGTTCCAAGTTTTTAACCAGCATCCAAAAAGAAATTTTTATTATCATTATTGTTTATAAAAAATATATATGAGTGGAAAATACTGTTGAAGTTGTTTTAAATAAGAGGTTTGTGTAGCCACCATATATGTATATACTCTCCCACATCTAACCAAAGTCCTTGGTTCTTTTCTCAAAATTAGACAACTACCATTTGCACTTGAGGTGCACAAGTTGCCAGCACCCATATGCTGGTCCCCAACTACACTGCGTTTTCTTCTTTCGAACTATTACACCCTTCTATTTCATCTTCAAATCTCACTCTTTGGCAGTAAATTTTATGTACATGTATATATATGCAAATGTATGTTGTGGGTCTTTCTGGGTCTGCTTTGTTTGTAGGAAAGGACGCGCCTTGAGTTTGGAAACATCACAGGCTAAGGTGTTGCCACCGTTCAGCCCTTCTTCTACTCGAGGTAATGGGAAAAGATTAAATGCATGTATTTGTCTCGCTAGCTGGTGATGACTGTGTTAGTGTTATATATGTAGATGGGAGATGGTATGAGGGAGAGAAAGCTATTCCGCTGAAGAAAAGAAGAGGGAGCTTCGAGGAGAATAATAATGCTACTCATAATAATAAGAAGATGAAGGCAAAGATGAAGACAAAGATGAACAAGAAGTGTTCCACGCGTGATGAAGATAGCATGGGAGAGGAAGATGAGGGAGAAGAAACAAAAGTGGAAATGAATGTGAGTAAGAAGAGGGCAAGGGGAAGTGCACTCATGGAAGGTTCTAGGTGCAGTCGTGTGAATGGTAGGGGATGGAGGTGCTGCCAACAAACGCTGGTCGGTTACTCGCTGTGTGAGCATCACTTGGGGAAAGGAAGGTTAAGAAGCATGACAAGTGTTAGAAGCCGTTCTATTATTGCATCTAGTGCACCAAAGAAGGTGCACCACGTGCCTCTCCCTTCTCCTTCTTCTTCTCTTGAGAAGCAATCTGAGTGTGTCGTTGCTAATGCTGAGTCCTTTGTGGAGGACGAGAAGAAGCCAGAGATGATGACGATAACAAAGAAGAGGATGAAGCTTGGCATGGTGAAAGCGCGTTCTATAAGCAGCTTGCTGGGACAAACAAACACTCACATTGCCGCTGTAGTTCATGAGAATAATAGCAAGTAAGGCCAATAAGTACAAGCGCAGACAACGGTTATTATTTCATGTACTTGAGGTTGAAACTTGAAAGAAATTTTAAAACTGGAGTTTTGTCTAACTAAATACTTGGTGCCACTGCATCATGTTCAACTTGGTGGTGCTTTTATTTCGTTATTATATATTCATATGTTACTTCGTATTTTGCAATGCTTTTGTTATGGTGCGTGATGGGATTATTGTTAAACTATTGCACTGGGGGCACGTTGTGATTTTGCACTGGCATGAACTGCTATGTTATCCATTGGATATTTTGGCCTAGCAGTGGCTTCGAGCATGATATCTATGTGTTCTTTGACCAAGGGAATAACTTGAACCATATCGTACGAAAATTTGTTATTGACAGGATAATAGATTAAGATGTAATTTAAGATTAATGTTATTGGTGGTCATATACCACTCGTGCATGCATGGTTTCAACACTTGCACCCTTTAGTTATGTAACACGGAGAATTTACGTACATCGATCGAGGTTAAGTAATGTGTGCCTTTAAATATTGTGGTGGTTGCCAAAACACAAATTTGTAGTTTCAGTCTTCACTCGTGTGCAACATGCAAAGAGGTGGAATTTGTTGTTGAATTTATAGTCCGTAATTATGGGAGTCATTTGCGGTTGAGGTTGATATAATCGCAGCCGAACACGTGCATGTGAACTATATATAGAGTATGTTATTAATAAAAAAAATTATTGAAAACAAATTAAATGGCATGATTTTGTCCATAAAGAGTTTGAGATAGAAAAATTTTGCTTGCATCCGCTTTTTGCGTTTAAATAGCAGCAGAAATTTGAGAAACGTGAATAAATATATATGGAAACAATTTTGCATGGAGCTTAATCATTTATAATATTCTCGATGAATCTGGCTAGTCGATCTTTTTGTTTGTGTACTTCAGATATTATAATTTGTCTTCACCGGCTATGAGAAGCATTTTATTTTGGGTTTTGAGAGCTGCATAAGAAAACAGCAGCTTTTGATTCAGATAAATGGACCCTCAACTCTCTTTTTCCCGATGACATGGCCTACATATATATGGCCCTGGCAGATCAAGTACCCAAAACTTGTTAGTTTAAGATTTATAAAAGGGAATTAGTCGCAGTCCCAATTAAAAAAAAAAAAAAAACTTTTTCTCAAATCGCCTCCAACATGTTCTGAAATCCTGACTATGTTAAAACTTAGAAACGCAAGTTGTAGTCAACAGAAAATACAAAAGACCAAATATCATAATTGTTATATTTATTTTTCTTGTCAAACTATATATGTAATATAATTTATATTTGCCTCATATAAGTTTGGGATATTCTACAATCATTGTTGTTTTGTCCAATTTGCGTCCAAAACTAGAAATGTGTGATTTGTCATGAAACTAATTTATGTAGTATTTTACTGATGAAAAAAATTGACAATGTACAAAGAAGGACGAGGTCTATTAAGGTAAAGTTTTCTTTGCCTTAAGCTATTACTGAAAAACATTATAATGTAGACCCCATGATGTGTATAGACCATATATCCTTCAACAAAATAATCCTGTATATAATATGTACACAAAGTCACATTATTATATTACTTTTTATCATGAATTTTTACTCAGCTTTATGCGCTCTTTTGCTGTAATTTCTGAGTTAAAGGGGCTTATGATGAGTCATTACTGCATAATAACTTTTTGTATGGTCAATGCTTTTTATAGCTTAATTGTAATAGTATGGTTGTGTCCACTTTAATTAATAATATTATATAATATTCATTCTAAGACGCAGCTATCTTTTTTATTTTATATCTTTTCTTTAACTTCTATTCCACTTCCTGGAACAACCAAAGAAATATCTCGCCTATGTTTTTCCTTCTATTTTCCACACATTATAATAATGTCTCGAGAAAAGTCTATATAATTCTACATACCAGTGGTGACTGTGACATGATGGGTACTGAAAAATTTACTATCTTTTTGAGTAGCTAGCTAGGTTAGTATGTACTCATGTATTCGGTTGACTTGTTGCAGCAAGGTAGGGCTAAATATAATACGGACTATATATATATCTATACTTCGTTTGATTTTGTTTTGTTTATATGCCAACTAACATTAAACTGTTCATACATCGATCGTTTGATATTTCGCTAAGCTGTCTAACTGATATCATGTTGTTGACTGTCCTTGCTAAAGGAAGCTCGTATATATGAAGTGCATAGAAAAACTTTGTAACTAGGAGCTTTGGTGAGCTAAAATGGAAAGCAAATGTCTGCTAAAAGCAAGAAGTACAGGAACAGATACAGATATGAGCCATGCACGCTGTGGACATGAGGGTGACACGAATTTTATGTATTATTATGTGTGTTTTGAAATGTTTCATCGCATTGGATACACGTCTTTATAGCCTAGTATGTAGAATAATACCTACATGACTCCTTCATTTGATGATAAATGGCATTATTTTTTTTATTTTCATTTGACTAAAATTAATGCACGTTTTCGCTGTGCTTTTCAATTGCTCGTTTACTCTATCTGACCTTTTTATTTTTAGTTTTATTAACACACATTTAGTTCATCTGCTCTTTTTGTTACAGTTTTATTAACACCTGTCTTTAAAAAGTTAAATTTAAGTAATTAAAATTAAATATAAAATATTTATCATACTTTTGTGTTTCTAATCAAATAAATATATATTTTTCAATAAATTTTTATTTTTAATTGGTGATGTTAACAAAACTGTTATTGATTAAATTTGTAAAAAGATGACAGTATATTCTTTGCAGAAAACATTAGGTGAAACCACTAAATTGTTTTTTTGTGAGAAAAGTACAACAATACTATTGGTTTTCATTTCTGTGCCTTAGCCAATAAATATGACAGAGAGATTCTTTTGGATGGAGACGGTTGAGATGGAGACCCTATACCAGCACTTCTCCACAAACCACAAGAGTCATGCCCTCCACCCAATTGCACGGGGAGTCTTAGCTAAAATAAATAATGAAAACATTAGGAGAACTTGAGAGCAATTAATATGTTATATGGCTACTGTGTCACAGTTTTTAGACAAGCCAATTAAGTCATATGTTCTGCATATAAACCTCAACAAAAGTTCTCGACAAATACTCATGCATTAAAATGTAACTAGAGACACGATATGAGTAAGCTACGTACTACTACAAGCTTCAACCATTAAAAGTCTATTATATAACATATAATGAACTTAATTTCTTAAAAGTAACTTCTCATTACTACATATAGAAGGAAAAATTAGGAAAGATAAAAAGAGTTACCAATTGAGAGTGTAAACATTTGTTACATGAAAAAGAAAGAGAAAAATATAGGGTTGGAGCTATAACAAATTTGTAGAATTCGAATTTGTTAAAATGCGGCTTCTTTAGATGATCATGTATATTGCGTGTTGCTTTAGGTCTTAAATTATGGCATTGATGGATATCATCGCAATTCACATGCATTAGCATGTTTGTTATTGGTGGAAATGGTTAAAGGTAAGTGGATCTTTTTGGTATGTGGATGCCACTTGTCATTAAGGAAAGGGGCAAATGTGGCTTAAGCTCGGTGAGATGAGAGGGGCCCAAACAGCAAAGCAAGTATTGGCAATAGGCAATAGCATCCTTTCACTTACCCCAGTGGGATAATGTATTCAATGGCATGTGGCTAGACGACCCACCAATGCCACACCAAAACAAACAAGTGTCAAGGTAAATTAATTAACGGATGATTTAATTTTTAGTTATTATTAATAAGGAATCTTATCTAATTATAATACATTTTTATGTTTAATGAATAATTAAAAAATCTAAATTGGTATATAAATTGAATTTTGAACAAACCGTCCAATGAAAAGAGAAAAAAAAGGTATCACTTGAAAAGTATTTTTTATATGTAGAATTGAATCTTTTCTTCATCTCTTTTATTTGGTCCAAAAATAATAATGATATTTAGAAATCTTTTATTTATAAACATTACATTAACATCTATCAATTATCTCCTTATATTTTTCTCTTTCTTTCAAATCATATTACTTATTATATTTTATTTCTATTTTGCATGGGTGTTAAATAGTTATTAGATCTCTAACAATTATTTTTTTCTAAAAATCATGCAAGTTCTAATTTATATGTAAAATTAAAAATTTTAGTCTTGCAATCTTTTTTTAATATAATTATGTATGTACAAAAAAAAATTGACTTATAATAGTGATGCACATAAAACATTTATTTATCCATTGTGTGAGTTGTAAATATCTATTTTAGATATACCTACTAATGATTTATTTATCCATTGTGTGAGTTGTATAACAATGATTTTATATTTGAATTTTATCAATACTAATAATTATAAGTAAAAGTAACTTTTATTTTAAATACAGTCATCATATCTTTAAGAACAAAACAAAAATAATGTATAAGTCAATTTTCTTGTGTAGTGATATCTAAATTTGTATACTTTTGACTTATTTTTTTTTATCTATCTCTTTATAATAATGACTCTTAGACACTCCACCTTTTTAAATATTTTTTTATCTCTTTTTTCTATCACGTCATACTATGAATTATAAATATATGTTAATTTTTTCTTATTGAAAAAAGACTTTTTTTTAACACTTATGAGATGTAAAGACCCATAGATATAAGAAGAAAAGAGAAATAAATAATTGATATGATTGTTAATGTGATATGATAAGAAAAAAGATAAAAAGAAAATAAAGGGTATCACATTAATGTTTATAAATTTTGAATGTTTACATAAAATTACTCCTTTTTTTATTTTCTTTCCCTCTTTTTAGGTGTCAAATAGGTTTATGAGTATCTAAAAATCATTTTGCATTTCTTTATGCATGTATCTTAAATTTCTTTTTATAATTAATATTTTACGTACCTTTTTTAAGTTAACGTTTTTGAATGATAATTAAAATAAAATTAAAATCTTCGATTGATAAATTTTAAAACTGAGTTATCTAATTAGCCATCACAATAAATTAGAGGTTTGACAACAATTCTATTCAGCTATATGCTCGTTGAGTCGTTGACAGCTGGCAAGGTGAATTTGGGATGTGTTATGCGAAAGCATGAGCATCTTTGGTTCCTCACATTCGTCATATATATAGTATAAAAAAAGTTATATCATTCCATCAAAGGAAAAGAGAATCGGCCACCACAAGTAGTTACAAACAATTACTTTATGTCTCATATTAATTGTTTTTAAAACAATATATAAATGTTAAAAACATTAATAATTACACAAATTATAATAACAAATGG